AGAGAGTATCTTTATCACCATACTATACTGCCTCAATAAATAAAAGCATAAAAAGGATACCTTCTTACTCTATCAAACATCATCTAGGGCAGGCTTCAACAAACTAGGCCCTCTATTAAATTCCCCACTGCTTGTGTTTGCATAGCCTGCAAGCTAAGAGTAAATGGCTTTTATATTTTTAAACTGTAGGAAAAAAAATTAAAAGAATATTTTGTGTCATGTGAAAGCTACATAAAGTTTAAATTAAATAAAGTTTTATGTACTATACATGACTGCTTTTATGCTCTAAGGGCAGAGCTGAGTAGTTGTAACAAAGACTGTATGTGGCCTGCAAAGCCCAAAATATTTACTCCACTCAGCCCTTCACAGAAAATGTTTGCTGATTTCTGATATGGGATGTGGTAAGCCGGGCTCTCTTCTACACTGTAACTGTAAATGGCAAATATAATACAAAGCAAGAATCTTATCTTTTCATACTATTGACTAAAATGTAATTTTAGTTTATCACAAAGAAATGTAAAATTCACAGAAATTTTTATGTAAAATATAATGTTGCATCAGTGTGAACCCAGGAAGTCTGGTTCCAGGCCCAAAGCTCAGGGCCAGGACTAGGGTGAGGAATACACTTAAATATTGACTCCAAAGGGAATAAAACAGCTTTTCAAGTTTATCAAATAATACCTATCAAAACTGGTATTTCTGAAGTCCTGTGATTCTGAACCATCAAACAACACCTTGAAATTATTACTACCAAGTTATATAACATATTTATTTAAGACTTTTTTTAGATCGAACCATATGAAACTACAGATATTCAAAGTTTTATGATACATTAATATCATAAAATCAAAAGGTATACACAGATCAAACAAAATCCATCCGGAGTATGGATAAACCCAAAATTTAAAGTTTACTTTCAGCAAAATAACATCTGTCACATAAATTAATGTAATTACTTGAATTTTATTGGTTTTAAGTTTTGTTGGCATGTAATTTGTAATTTTGTTTTATTTTATAACTATATAAGTGCTATAAACTGAGACATTTACTCCTCATTGGAAAATATTTACCTAAAATTTTGACAAGCACAATCAAGTCAAAGTGGAAGTAAGTGAGGATGTTTTCCTTTGAAAGGGGTCTACATATTTCGCAAGTTTGAGAATGCTGTGCGTATTCCATGAACGGCATATGCATCCCAGCACATAATTTGAGAAGAAACAAATCACAGCCCCTTCTGTTCAATCTCAGAAGCTTAGTATTAATGGGCAACAGCAGACCACAACTACCTGGATGAGGATGATAGCAAAAGAATGACATTTTCACATGCCTTCACATTCAAAACAAAGTGCTTCACCTTTGTGAGCCTCAATTTTCTGTAAAATAGGGCTAATGGTTTACATTGCAGAGTTATAGAAAGCAGAGGTACTCTAGGTAAGGTATACAACATGTAACATAATACTTAATGTTACTAAGCAGCTAACCATGTGGCAGGCATTTTAAATGCATATATCACTTTATATGCATCGTTTCAAAAAATAATTACAACCATCACACTATATGAAATAGTCACCAGCATATCCTTGTTTTAAAGATGATAACGCTGAGGCACTGAGAGGTTCGGTAATTTGCCCAAGGTTGTGTAGCTAGTAAAGGACAGAGCCAAGACTTAGCCCAAATGCCTAATGCCAGGAAGTCAATTTTCTTCTCCACTATACAAAACTACCTCAATAAATGGGAGCAATTATCATGAAATAAATGTCCATATTTCACCAGAATGAGACACACATAAAAAACTTTTTTAAACTCATGCCACCCTGAACAAGCTCGATCCCATCTGATCTCAGAAGCTAAGCAGGGTTGGGCCTGGTTAGTACTTGGATGGGAGACCACCTAGGCATACCAAATGCTGCAGGCGTAAAAAATTAAAAATAAAGGATTGTAAAATGACAAGGTCATTGAAATCTGTGAGGTCAACCAAGGGTTGCCTCGCCTAAAAAATAAATAAATAAACCCAGCCACAGACCTTTTAGTGCACCACAGCTTTGGAGGTGGCCTCCAAGCCCTTTGTGTCAAAAACCTTACCAGAATTCTGTTTTTCAATTGACATTAGGCTTCTTTCTAGAAAATCTGGGGCACACAGTGTAACTTCATTTTTTAAAGGCTTCGAAATTCCAGCTGACAGCAGTGTAAACATCAATTTCCTCTTCTTCTCAGGATGCTAAAGGGTTCCTCCCCCAGTCTTTCCTCCTTTTGTATTTCTGTATTTGAAAACTCTGGACTAAGCCACTAGGCATGAGTACAGGAGCTTATGGGAAGGAGCCAGAAATACGTCACCACCAGGTTTGTTGTAAGGATGAAAGAATGCTTCATTAACATTACAAAGTGGTGAGCTTAAACCCCAGAAGTGTTATGCTTAAAAAATAAAACTAGTTTTTTCCTACCATCTTTTTCTCCTGCTTAGAATGTAGTACTAATGTCAAAGATTTTCAACTGCATTCCCACCAGGCAAATGGATTTATTTTCATTTTTAAAAGCCATTCTAAATGATCATTATAATAGAATTCTAACATTTAGAAATGGGCGGGGTGGGGGGAGGTGATTAGGTGATACAGTTCCCAACCACCCAAAAAACTTACACTCTTGGAATTAAGTACCAGTAGTTCCCCTTCTTCCACGGAAGATATATTCTAAACCCTCAGTAGATGCCTAAAACTGAGGATAATAACAAACCCTATATATACTGTTCTTTTCCTGTATATACACACCTATGATAAAGTTTATTTTATCAATTAAGCATAATAAAAGCTTAACGACAATAACTAATAATAAAATAGAACAATTATAACAATATACCATAATAAAAATTATGTGACAATGGTCTACTTCTCTCTCTCAAAATATCTTACTGTACTATAGTCATCCTTTCTTCTTTTGATGATGTGAGATGATACAATCAATGTCTATGTGATAAAATGAAGTGGGGTGAGTGACATAAGCATTGTGACATAGTGTTAGGCTCCTATAAGGGTTACTTGAACACAAGCACTGCAGTGCCATGACAGTTATGATAAACGAGACAGCTACTAAGTGACTAAGGGGCAGGGAGCATCTATAGTGTGGATATGCTGGACAAAGAGATGATTCACATCTAATGCAGGAAATCGCGAGCTTCATCACACTACTCAAAATGGCACGCCATTTATGACTTACAAATTGTTTATTTCTGGAATTTTCCATTTAATATTTTGGACTGCAGTTTACTATGGGTAACTGACATCACATATAAAGCAAAACCATAAATAAGGGGGGACTACTGTATACACTGTACTGAAAAACAAAGGTTTTATATTGTTACAGGGCTGAATTTCTTTGGAGGGAATCTAAAATGGCCACCAGGAGTTTCTAACTCCCCAAAAGCTTAACCAAAACCCTGTAGTTTTATTTTTTTTTTCCTGCACAGCAGTAACCTTCAAGTGGTTCCACTGTACAAAATATTTTACTATATGGACATGCTAAAATATTAGATATAAAAACAAATATAAACCCCTCTGAGAACCAACGCAAGTGTTACTGCCTTGGGAAAAAAAAACAAGAGAGAGACACTATTAAAGCCATTTTTCAGAGTCTATAGAGAATGTTTGGGGGGAAAAATTAACTATTATTAAAATGTGGTGAGATATGAATCAGAGTGGACAATATTAATCATAGTAATAGTAATTGTTGCCATAATGTATGTGTAACAGTAGTGATGGTGAGGAGAAGCAATAGACTGAGGGCTTTCTAAGTGCCTCTCATGATCATCTCATTACATCACATTTATTCTCAGAGTGATACAGGCCCCCAAGCCAGAAACTGTGCATTCAGATCCTGGCCCTACCATTTAATATCTGTGTGACACTGGGCAAATTACTTTAAACCTCTGTGTACATAATTTTCCTTATTTGCAAGGGGAGATAACAATATCTACCTTACAGGGTTGTTGTGAGGATTAAATGTGTTAAAAAATATGTGACATGCTTAAAAAAGTGTCTGGCACATAATAAATACTATTAGGCCAATTGTTATTAATTATTACCATTATTTGATTTCAGAGATGAGAAAACTGAGGCATAAAGAGGACTTTCTAAAGTCACACAGTTGGTAAATGTCAGTCCTGGAGTTTGACCCAAAGCTATTTGACTCTTAACCACCTCAAAAAAGCTTCTATAGTTTTCAAGCACATGTATTTTTATATTTACACCTCTGGAAAATGTAAGAAATTCATCAAATAAGAAAACTGCAATCAATGAGGTTATAACTGCCTTGGAACCTAGTGGCTAAGCAACCCCTGGGTGGAAAACCGGTACTGGATGCTGAGATTACACAAAACACCAAATGGTCCCAGGTGTGGCCTGAAGCTCATGTTTTAGGGAGAAAGAATATACATATAAATATTTTAACTTGGAACAACAATGGAAGATTGCCAAAACAACAAAAAGAACATTCAAAATGGCCAGAAACAAAGTCTTTACTGACTCCAGGAACAAATATACTTCTTTAAAATGTCCTGCCCTAACCACCACCCTACCCAACCCACCCCACCACCCCACTGCCTATTAGCACATGAAATTTTCTATCCAAAACATTTTTTTTTTGGTTGATGTTATCACTTCAGTAACTGCTTTGATCTTCTGGTATTTATTTTAGGAGTAAAAATATTTGTCAAAAACTTTACTTAAGAACAAGAAGGAATCCAAATTTGCAGATAATAAAGATTAAGGTAACTTTTTCACTCTTTTATAGTTTCAGAAAGAAGGTATTCTGTTCACATAGCAGTGTTAAAAACAGTTTAGTGGCAGAGCAACTTGGAATTGTGGTTGATGCAGTATGTGGCTTTGAAAACTGGCTAGGACTAAAGAGAATATAATGAATCTATTTAGATGTTTAAGCTTCAGCTACTGGCAAGGCATCCTGGATATCTATTTTTCTTCTCTCCCTTCCATAGTTCCAGACATACTGACCTTCTTGGTATTTTTTGAAAGTGGTGAGTCCTTCTTGCAGCCTCAAGATCTTGTGCTTGTTGTTCCTTCTCCCCAACTTCATTTGGGTCTTTGCTCACATCTCTCTTCAGAAAGGTCTTATATAAGAGGACCGTCCTCTGTTATTCTCCATTCCCTTATATGGCTTCATTTTTCTTCATAGGACTTATTTTTATCTGAAACTATATTTACTTTTTAATTTATTGATGAGCTGTCGCTCCCATTAATGTGTAAGCTCTATGAGTACAGGGATCTCATACGTCTTGTTCATAGTTGTATTCCCAAAGAGATTGGCACACAACGTGGCATAAAGCAACAACTGACTAAATATTTGTCCAATGAATAAAAAATACCAGCTCATTCTCAAATACAAATGATGTTATCCTCTAAAACACTTTTTAATCCATCTTCATTGCCACTTCCCAGTATATACAACAGGCCCAGTACAGCCTGTCATTTCTACTTGGAGTAATGCAGCAGCCACCCAACATCTCCCCCATTGACACCCCGAGCCCCCCCTCCAATTAATTCCCCCACAGATGATCTTATCAAAGCACAAATTTCATGGAGTCACCAGCTCCTACTTAAAACACTCTCCAGGGTCCTTAAGATGTAGACTGACTTCTTAATGTGGTCAATAAGACCCTATAAAGACTGGCCCCAGTCTAGGTGTCCAGGCTCATCTAACTCCACTCTCCCCTTAATGCTCTTCAGTTACTTGACTTTACTCTGTTCTCTCCTGTTGCAGGGCTTCTGCACAAATTTCCCTCTGCTGTCTGGAACGCTCTTCTTCCCACCCTCTCTCAAAATCGCCTACTCGCAGTTCAGACATCAATCAAGTGTCACTTTCTAAGGGTTCCTGTTATACAAGCCCACAAAACCATACTGCTTTCTTCAGAGCATTTGCTTCTGTTTGTCATTATGTTATTAGTAATTGCTGGACTTTTTAAAAGAAATTAATAATTGTCTTCATTTTGGACTCTGCTCTATAATAGAAAAGACCGTGGATTTTGTGCTCACTATTGAATCTCTAGAGTCAAGAAGAGTGCTTGGTACATGGCTGGCACTGAATAAATATTTGCCGAATAAGTGAAAGGCACCCTATTAGGAACCAAAGGGCTAGAAGTCAATATCAGACACAATAATATAAAAACTTTCCACAAATATTGAAGTAAAGCTGAAGGCCAAGATATTAGTGAAAATTTATAATATGTGGACGAGCTGCTATTAAAATGGGAGCAAGGGGAAGTTTAGGGTAATACAGGCTTTGAAACAGCACTGATGGTAGACTGGGAAAAAAATGGGACTAAGAGAGTCTGTTTTATTAAAGAACTAGACAAGAACCAGTTCAAACAATTTGCTAAAACTTTATAGTAATGACAGTAACTAGGTGAAAGGTTACATTTACATATTCTATTAACAACTCCTTGACTCATCAGTCTCTCTGGAAACATTTTTCTATTCAAGGAAACTATTCAAACTTTCCTTCCTGGCATTTTCCTTTATAAAATTTCTCCAAAAAGTCCTTAGTCTCCTGGAAGATGTTTTAAAGACATTTCACTGTGGTCGATTAAGCATACAGTAGTAATAGCTAAGTGAGACAAGGGCCATGGAGGAAATGGCATGTAATAGAAAGAACCCACTTTGCTCCTGATTAAAGTCACTCATGTGAGACTTGAGAAAATCTACACACTAAAAAGTTCTGAGCACCACAGGAAATCACGGGTTAAAGGACACGGCCTAATTTGTAACCCTCATTGTTACTGTTTTAATCACCTAACACTAAAATCCATATAATTCTAAATTCTCTGGGGGAAAGAAAGAGCGTATTCATTTATTGTAATTTCCTTATTTCAGGCTTCCTTTAAAATAAGATGTAACATTGGCGTGCATGAAAAGCAATCTAATATCATTTCCTTTCCTTTGAACCCATCAGTGACTCATGCGATAAACAGCAAGTCTCCTGGGCTTGTTTCTGTGGAGGTTACACCAACAATTTCAACTGCATACTCCAGTTTTACTGGAGTCAGTTTTCTAAAGATGATTTACTACACCTTACCTGAGAGAAGACAACATGAAACTGGGAAAATTCTGATCTTCAGAATTACAACAGACAATGATTATTTCCAATTTCATGCTGTTTATATGAAGAGAATGAAGGCACAAGGGAAGATAGTGCTAAACAAAATAGAAAGGGAAAAATTAAAACATGCTGTACAAATGATGTTACCAGATTTAGGAGGGAAGGGGAGAAAAGAATGCAGGGGAATAACCAGCCTTTTCCACCTCTACAGAAACGAAAATTTTAAATTCACAATTAAAAAAAAAAAAAAATTTCACAAAGTAGCACTGAAACACTAATGAAATAAAACCTCACTGATTGAGAAATCTATGTTGTTCCAAACCCTTATAGCACATGACCTTGACTTTCCCAGAATTTTCTGAAATTTGAGAAGTATCTGTGAAAACATGGTTTGTTGATGTAATTAGTAGTGTAAATACGTTAAACTATGTTTAACATACACACAAATTTTCATTAAACACTATAGAAGCCTCTAGTTACATGAAAACAATCATCATGCTACTTCAAAATTAACACATCTCTGTAAAGTTTTCTTCCAATGAGTTCTAACAGGTAACATCCTTAGTGGGTTCTGGGTTATATATATTAGTACTTTAAAAACATAAATTCAACTTTTAAAATATTCTAAAATTAAGATTTTTAAAAAATTCTAATTAGTTTTCATAAAATAAATTTTTACTACACTACAAATAAGCACTATTTTAAAGCAAATTTCTTCTGACATAGTTAAATGAAATTCTTAATATTTGAAATTTTTGATAAAACATTTTAAGCCATAGAAATAGCAGGTGGTAGTATCATTCTTCCATAAAGGACTCCACCTTCACTTTTTAAAATTTCTACCACTGTCCTTTGTTTTGCTTATGTTATAACTACATGACAAAGCAGTCAACTGCACATTCGGTGCACATAAAAAGCTGTCCTTTGTGACTGCAACTACTGTAGGCAGGACTTACGGAATGACAGAAATCATGACAGAATGTTGTGCTTTCATTTCCCAATACTTGTGGTCCATTCTCTCCTCAAAATGATCTCCCTCTATCTAACAGAGAAGCATATCTGCTGCCTTTATTATTTCTTGGCATTTTCCCCCACCTCTGCTGTGTCATTTAAAATTGTGCTTTAAAGTACTACATGATTTTTTTTTCTTTTTGAGTCCAGTTTCCTCTTTTCTCCAGGCTGTCCTCTTAAATTCGCTGAACAAGAGCCATTTGGAAATTTCGTTCCTATCCTCCCTGCTTTATGCGAGTTCAAGAAGCACAGCTGGGCTGCAGCAGGCACTGACTGTCTGGGTGCTGCTGGGCTGATTGTGTTCCAGAGCCTCGCTGCAAATGTGTCACTCTTGTCCTTTTATGTTAAGCATGGCCAGTAGATGAGCTGAAGACAGTGTTCAGAAGTTCAAGCTCCTCTGGGCACAGAGAAGTTCAAGCTCCTTTGGGCACAGATCCTAATCACACAGTCACACATGATTTTGAGGAATGCCATATATAGAGAGAACTTCTGTAGCCACATGGCCTCAGTCTGCTTAGTCTCCAAATTGACAATGTGATAACTTTCTACTTTTATTCCCCAACAGGACAGAACTAAATACCGTACTAATTATCCAAACTGAAATAGTTCTCTTGTATAAAGGAATTCCTATGAACATAACATGAAAACAAGCATATTTATGGTGTCAAAATTAACAACTTCCACCACTTCTACTCACCCAAGAACAAACAAAATCTAGTTTTAAACAAGCAACTTCTGATAGAACTTTCTGCAACGATAGAAATGTTTTATACCTGCTCTGCCTACTACATTAGTGACTAACCACATGTGGCTATTAAGTACATGAAATGTGGCTACAAGTGTGACTGAGGAATTAAAATTTTTTTATTTTCATTAAACAGACAATGTGGCTAGTGACTTTAAAGAACTGTAAACAATCTTAGAGTTTGATCTACTTGCAAGTTAACACATAAGCCATAGTTTCATGGATGCAGGGAGAAGACATGAAATTCCTAGGTCAGAGACAAAGAACTACATTTCTCACAGAAACATGAGCCAGCGTATTAACATAGTTGTGCCAATTCTCTGAAGCCAATTCCCACAGTGTGATGTGAAGAGGGCTGGTAATATCGACAATAAATGATTTGCATTACAGAAGGGGAACCCTGAGCTCAGAGTACCTGAATCTTTACACTTGACAGGAAGCCTACCTGTCCTTTGCTCTTGTTTTCCAAGGCTATCTGCTATAAAAATGTCCTGGAAAAGACAGTCTGGAATGAAAGTAGTCAGTGCCTCTACTCACAGAAACCTGAGTGACTAATGGAGAATTATCTCCCAACTGTGGAGCTATCATCCATATTTCTGAAATCTACCCATCTCTCACTATCCTGCCCAATACCCTGCTTTTAGCTATATTTAGTTCTTGTTCAGACCATTACAATAGCTTCCTAAATGGTTAAGGCTATAACCCGTTCCCAGGCATTCTCCATACAATAGCCAGAATGTACCTTGTAAACACAAATCTAATCATGTCACTCTTCTTTCAGTCTTTTATGTCACCTACTGCTCTTAGGATTAAGCCAACTCTCCTTAGCAAATTCCACAGGCGCTGAATGATGTGGCTCTATTCATACACGTGGGCATTTCCCTTGTCTCTCCTATGCTGCATCCCTTTAGCCACACTAAACTTCTTTCATTTCCTTAATTGCAGTGGTCATAAAGTGAAGTCCTGGTTTGAATTTCAACTACAAAGGTGTCTGGTTTGGCCCACACAATAGTTTAAAAAGCATTTGGTTCATTTCACATTTATAAAATATAAAATTTAAGCTCTTCTTAAAAAATCAGGGCAACACTTGGCCTGCATCCTAACTTGACACCACTTGGCTGGAGCCTTGTCTCTACTGTTGTTCCCCTTAGACAAAGCCTGGGTTCTCCCTCCTGCTCTCATTTATTTATTCTTTTACATTATCTACCTTACTTCCATTCTAATGCATCATGCTCTGTTCACCTTCTTTAATCCTCTAACTTGATCGCCTACTATCACTTATTCTTTAGGTCTCAGTGTATTCATGGGATGTTTTCCCTGACCACTACTACCAACCCCAGTAAGTATAAAGTAATGCACTGTATGACATCCACCTACCCAGGCCCCCACCATCCCATTCCATCCTTCTTCTATGGTTCTCTGATTTACTCCTATCATGGCAGGAATCACATGAGATCGTAATTTTTTGTTTACAAGTCTGCATTCCTCTGAAGACTTTTAGGTTATAAGGGAGTGATTATGATTGCCTTATACACCATTGTATGCCAGTACCCAGTAAGAGGCCCAACACATAGTAGGAGCTCAATAAACACTTGTTGAATAAACAGAAGTTAGCTGAGGAGTTGCTAATTCAAAATAGGGTGTGTGTGTGTGTGTGTGTGTGTGGTGTTTATGTTCTATACTTACTTTTTTTTAATTTGGACCTTTAAGATGTCATCCCCTCACCCCAAAGAAACTGAAGTAACTACTTGAGTAGTAGGTACATAACAAACAACAGGTGATGTGCTAAGTACTTCACATCAATTAGCTCATTTAATCATTACAACAGTCCTTTGAGCTAAATATTTCCATTATTCCCATTTTGGAGATGAAAAAACTGAGGACTTGGGAGTTTATGTAACTTACCCAGAGTTACATGACTAGTAAATGCCTGGGCAGAACTCCAATCTGTGCCCATCAGAACCTGAAGCCAAATACTGATACAATTGATAAATATGAGACTTTTAATGGGCCCTGGATAGTAAGAGACCAAGTAAGGAGAAACCAAAGAACTATTTATCAGGCAATTGAAATTATAGTTCCACTCCTGCCACTAACTAGCTGTTCAACCTTGGATAAGATGATGGTCTTATTCTCTACACCAGTAAAGTAAATTGCAGAGGATAAAGATGACCCAAACTTCCCTCAGGAGACTTTAGAACACATGACACTACCATCGACTTTATTAAAAAGCTATTTGTATATGGTTTTAACAATCAGTTTTTATTGGCTAAAGAGTTAAAGGGGCGAAAAGATGCTTTCTGCCTCAATATTCATGACTATTATATCATACTACACAGCTTCCAGGACAGTGACAGGACCTTTAATTTCATTTCACAAACAGGAAAACAAAGGTACTGAGCAATAAGGCCAAGTGTAAAGTTAACTTCACATCCCTCAGGCTGCCCCTCAATGCCCCTTGTCTCTGTGTGAATTAAATAGTTCTCAAAGCCCAGTACCGGTATGTAAAACCTAAGAAATTCTACACTTATCCAGCAGTTGGATGGATTCTTCCAGGGAGCAGGAAAAGAATCAGAGATGTCATTGAGTCACACTAAATACAGCCTACTCTGGTCAATCTCTTCAGGTGGAATTCTTGCCCATCCTTTGCACCAAGTGTGATTTTTTTTTTTTTTTTTGACAGTTAAAAACAAAATAAAAACCTCTCACTATGAACCTTGTAATTTTTTAAGTGAAATTCCCAGTCAACCCAGGGTCCATCAGGCCATTAAGTGCTGAAGTTTCAACTTATTAAAAATATTACATTCAATTTCTGGATTTTTTCTACAAATTATATAATTTCATTTCTCAAGAAGTGGAGAAAAATGCATATGGGCACCACAAATTGACCTATTGATTAAAGTTAGAATTGAAATTTCTACAACTTTTAACATGTTATCATATTATAAATGTATAAATGTTTTTCTGAGTTCTCATTCTAAAAATACAGAACTCATTTTATTTCTAGTATGCTAAACTTGTTGTTTGTTCCAATCTATTAAGCAAATACACCAAATAATGATCTGAAAGGGCCTTTGGTAATGTATTCTTGACATCATTCTACTTGCCATATGTAGTCATTAGAATATATTTGATATTCATACGAAAATATGAAATAAAAATATTAGTCTCTAAGTTAGATTGGAAGCCCCTTTAGGGCAAGAAACATATTCTAAATCCATCTTTAAAAGCACACAGCACCCAATGTGGCACAATACAGGAACTCATGAAATGTCTATTAAGTCAGAAACTCGTGGATTACAGGACTTAGCTATTTAATATCAAGTCTAAGCCTCACTTTCTTAGGCCACTTATTTGCTTTCTTTAAAATTAGAATAGAGCTAACAGTGTTTCCTGTCCTTTGATTTTAAACTGAAAAGTTTACAAATGACAGGTAAGATGTTATTCAAGCTAAATGAACTTACTTTACTAAAATGAAGATCTACTTCTTGAATTGTTAAAATTAGAAGCAAATTTAAATTTACACTTAAAATGGAAAAGAGATTGTAAAGAGTGGCAAACATCTGAAGCAAACACAACTCTTATTTCCAAAGACTGGGGCTAATAACGATCTTTTGCTATTTGAATTCTTATGACCATAGAAAGAGGTAAGTACAGCTTTGTACTCGATGGGAAAGAGACGATTTCAAAACCAATGACCAGATCCATAAACACAAGTCTTTCATTCCAACAAAGATACTAGCCATATCAGCTAGAGAGACATAATCCCATCTAAGACGAAGGACCTGAACTCGGACGATTAGAACACAGGACCTGCCATCAGGCAGCTTCACAAGACCAGAGATCGT